GAGGAGGAGGAGGAGGAAGAAGACGACGAGGAAGAGGAGGAAAACAGCTGTACTGACTCTAAAACACTCTGTACGCAGGACTCTGAATCAACAGAGATTCCTTTGGACGAGCAGGTGGGGGAGGACGAAGACGTGGAGGAGGTAGCGGAAGAGGGGGAGACACCCTGCTCACAATCGTGTGTAGTGGAGGAAGAGGTAGCAGAGGAGGAGAAAGAGAAAACCCCCCAGACATAGCAGTTTATGGACAGCACCACATTAACTGTTCTTCTTAGTAATGACAGATGATTATTTATAGAATATTTTTTGGGTTTTGTGGAGTCTGTCTGTGTTTTTTATACATCTATGTTTATGGTTCCAAAGCGTGCGCTGCTCTCCACCTTGGCCACTCCTCCTGTCAGCTTTGTTCAGACACGCCCACCGGTACTTCTTCAAGTTTTTTTGCACTCAGGAAAACTCCTTTCCATTCCCGTTTGTACTGAAGTGGTGTGTCTTTATTTCACTTTCACACCTCCCCTTTACAAGCTTAAGTTTCGGACATGGACGAGCAGTTCTCAGTCTGCTCAGTGCTGTTCATACGATACATAATATCACATTTCCCTTCCCTCCGCTTCGTCTCAGCCTCGCCTGAAAGTTTAGCAGTGTTTCCGTGTTTTATCAAGTGCCCATATTCTACAGAGACGGTTATCGGTGTGTTCAAGGAGAATCTCCCTCTCGGTTAGGTCATTTCCACCCCACTGCGAATTACGAGGCATTTTTTCAAGCTGCCGTTCCACCGAAAACCTGTTGGGACGCCGCAGAGACGAAAGCTGCAGCCCACTGGGGAGCTTCTCGAGACACATTTCTGATGTGGAAGTCTTCCTTGAAAACCTGACTGATACAAAGCTCAAATCTAAACAGCCATGATGCTGTCCTAGACCTCTTTAATTTTTGTATTGTACTGTATGTAAGATTCAGATATTTTCTAGAATTTACTTTTGCAATCCTAGGCTTTCTGTTGTTAGCAATGAAGATTAGAGAACTTTTGGGAACCAATGGGGAGAAATGTGTCAGTGTTTTAAAGGCTGGAGTGTTCTGAGGCGTTTGCACTTGCTCCAATAGCATTTATACTACTATTCCCATGCCACTATACTCATATTTTGGTTAGTCCTGTGAGTTGAAATTTGGAATTAATTCATAATAATTCTTATTTTTATGAGCGTTTTCACTGAGAAGGAAGCAGGAACCTGAAGTCTTATGCTTAACTCTCATTGAAATTGTTTGTGAAGTGGATGAAGCCTTTAAATTTTATTATTGTTGCCTGCAGTTCTATTGAACACATCCTGAGACAATGCAATGCTTTGTAGTTGATACAAAAAGCACCTTTTTTTTTAGAAGCTTGATTAGTGCTCCGAATATACAGAAATAGTAATGGTGTTAACTACTGGGGTGATTTTATACCGATGTTATGAAAGCTTTTATTGCCCTTTCTTTCATTTTTCTTGCCCATTTTGTTTGATGTACACATCAACAGCTGCATATGTGCTTGTATTCCGCCACTTCTTTTTCTGTTACAAGAAGCTAGAAGAATTTATTTTGTTTAATTTTGCCATTACAACATTAAACCAAGTTGCTGTCTTTGTTTTTCGACAAGACAATCAGCTCCGTTGCATAGTCATCAGATAAGACTATCCTCTACTTAGATACTCTAATGCACTGATATATTCATATATCACCACTTTAATATTTTAATATGTTTTAACTCGCCAAAACACTCACTCATGAATACTTAGGCTTGAACAGTGCTGTCTTACACCTCGGCCAAGAGTCTCTTCCTCATTTTTTCACTTTACACCTGATGCTATTATTTATTGGTATATTTTTCTATTTGTTAAGTCCGTTTTTGCAATATAAACGTGGTACAGTAATTATTTCACTGTAGCATAGACCACAATACAGGCTTGCCAGTTACAATACCCAAATATACTTTCTTTTTCTCTCCGTGTACATAAAATATAGAAAATCAACAAATGTTTAAAAAAAAGGAAAAAAAAAACACTTGAAATACTGCACACTGCTTTTTTAAGAGTGCTTGTTTTAATTATGTCATTTCCAACCTTTTTATTTAATCTTTCATTTTGTGCCAAGATTTATTTTTCTCTCTTTTTTCATCCTCACCCAATGCCCTTACCTATAATAAAAAAATTCTGGTTTTATTGCTGTTTACAAACATATATTTATTGTGCTGTATATAATATATAATTATTAATGTTATTACTATCATAATGCCGTTTGTCGTAAATGGTTGATTCTTATCATCCCTTTTGGTGATGGTGTGGCTGTATTACGTACCTCTTGTTGAGAGAATGTTTATTACACATGAGCTTCAGTGTAAAAATGATCCATCGACATGTTGCTTATCTGAGAACTAGCTCAGAGAAGAGAGGGGGAAAGCCAAATTGTTTTTTAAAAAGAAACTGTTCCTTGGCCCATGGGCTGTGCCTTAAATTCAACGCATGTCATTTACTTTTAGCCTTTTCTTTCTATTTTATTTTCTAGTTCTCTTTTTGCTGCAGTAGTGAATCTTTTGGCTTGGGTTGGCCTGAACTCCTGTTATGAATTTGAAAATGTTGCCTTTTTACTGTCACAGCCAAACACAAATTGCTCTATCAAAAAAAACGTGGCACTGGAAAATATGTTGTCAGTGCAGAAGTTTCATTTCAGGTCAACCACAAGTCATAGATTTACTACTTGAGTGATGTGTGGCCTATAGCCAGATGTCCAAGAGTCGTATTTGCTGTAGACCTGGTCTCAACAACTCACACCTTCCTTACGCCCTGCCACTATACACTCAAAGATGTGACATAATCTGGTCGGATGTAAATGATATGGGAGTAACTTTGCTTTGTGTGTGTGTGTGTGCAGAGTTACTGCGGTGTCGTCTACAATCCGCGTGGTTGTATCACAACTACAAACACTGAATGGGGTGCAACAAGAGTGTGTAGTTGCTTCGACCACAGCCTACGAAGCACAGAGGCTTTGAGACACATCTGCATGTTCAGCCACTGCTGCATTAATTATGGCTGAAACACTGACAGTGTGTTGCTTATCTATGCTCGGCCCACACCTCCACTCACATTACTTGCAATATCCAAAACCACTGACATTTTTCTGCCTGGACAGGAGGAGGGTTTAGTATATTTCTGTAGTGAAGGGGGTGGTTGGGAGGGGGGGATAGGGGTTTGGGTGAGAACATCATTGTCCCAAAACAGGGACTCTTATTTTGACACACATACTGTAGATTCTAAACAGCCCTGGACCAATGGAAACAGTGGGTTCTTTTCTCATTATGTGTTCTATTTTTTATGGTATGAAAGGAAAACACAAACTGTAACTTAAAAAAAGGTCTTCAGGACAATTATTTTTTGGGTTATGTCTTTAGAATGCCAACTTGTCTGGAAGTTTCACAAGACAATTGAAATGTTATTTTAATGGATTCCTTGTTAATTGCAGTTTATTGGATAGCACTGTAGATCATACAACTTTATGTAAAAAACAAATAAAAAAATAATGAAAAAAAAGTTTTTATATGCAATGGATTAAATAAAAGCATGGGTTGATTCTGCCTACTCACTGGTTTCTGGTTGTCATTGTTTCAGATGGTGATACACAGTCAAGTGTGGGTTGGATGCACCATACATTTCACTAACAAAAGAGATCACAGCCTGAGAGGAAAATCCCTGAATACACTTTCTATCTTTGGGATTTCAGCCATTCCCTGCAAACTGCTCTGGGTGTGAGTTTCACACTAAGCCACATGGGTGTGGTCTGAAGATTTTCTGAAGAGATTTATAGATATTTGTAAAATCTATGAACAGTTTCAATCTTTGTGTACTACCTATATCTGGATGATAATATCATCTATTCATTTTAACTGAACAGTGTTATCTGCCACATCATATCATCGCACCGCTGCTAAGGAAGTCACATAACCTTTGTATCTGTAAAGCTGTAGTATTTTTTAACTTGTCACCAGCAGTGATTATTCTAGAACAAAGAAATGCAATGAAAGAAGTGCAATAAAGAAATAAAGGAATATGTATATGATGCAATAAAACCTTCTTTACAACAGTAGGGTTACACACTTATATAAATCTGGTACATTTGTGTGTAGAGTATTTTTAAGGTATTCAGATACTTTAAATTTAATGACAAAGTTATACAAATAAAGGTCCTGCAGTACGGAAAATGTTTATACAGTAGTTTCATGTTGTAGCTGGTGGAGATGAAGCTACTATTAACATATTTTACTACTGTTACAACTGTTACATAGTTTTATCTACAACAATGAATAATATTTGATTAAAAAATCACATTTTGTTTGTAAAATCAAAATCTTGAAATAACCAGTTCTACAGCTTTCTGATAAAAGTAGGAGTAAAAACTACAATACTGGTCTCTGAGGTGTAGGGGAGTATGAGGACCTTTTATTAAAAAAACTGTACTTAAGTAAAGAACTTGAGTAAAAGGATTTAGTTACATTTCACCACTGGATTTATATTATTAAACATTGGATTATTATTACTGATGAATAAACATAATAGCTAGTAGTATTTTAATGTAGCTGCTGAGGTGACGCTAATTTGAACTCTTTTACATGTATTGCTGGGTAGTTTAATGTATATCAATTAACTGTAAAAGTAAAATCTTATTGTGCAAATTAACTCAAGACTGTAATACGCCTAAATGTAGTGGTGTAAAAAGTCTAATTTCAATCTGAAATGTAAGGTTAAAATGCTTAAAATGAATGTGAATGTACATTCCAACACCAAAATTGTAGATAATGTCAAATATTCCACGTTCATCACCAGTTGCAACGTCTCTGTCTTCTTGGCGCAGGTGTAGCGCTCCAACACTAGGTGGTGCACATTCCCTAGAAATGAAAAAGGCTTCAGTGCTGCACAACTGAACAGAGTAAATTGAGACAGCATGTCCAGGCAGCAGCCTTGCAGTCCTCCCTTTATGCTTCCATATACCCAGCAGAGAGCACGAGAGAACACAGAGACCCACTGATAGAATATGATTTATTTCCTATAATCTCAAAAACATATTTCTTACTTTGCTTGCACTCCGAGAAACAAATATATTCAGTTATATGTAAAGTCATACTGCTCTAAAATGAGACTTGACCAGAGTGACTGTTTGGGCATCCAAACTGCCACATGACTATTCCTCTATTAAATGAATCTTGACTGAAGATCAATACAATAATTTATTTCATGGCTATTAGCATAAATTATATTATCACACACATACACAGATGCACACGCACAAAGCACGTGTACACACATATGCGCAGGGTCTTTGAACTAGTGTACTTATGTGTATCCCTTGTCTTGGAATTACAACAGTATGGCATATGGCATGGACTAAGTCATCTCCCTGACTATCTTTCACAATAACACTGCATTTTGACATGATAACACAAGTTCAATCAACACCCAACAGTTAGCAGGAACAGCATATAGTACGTGAGTACATTTGTACAAAAGGTATACACAAACAATACACTATATTACGTAATTTGTCTGTTCAATATGGCAGGTACACACACACACATACACACTTACACACACACCAAGTCACACATTCAGTGGCTGCAGTTACTGAACAAAGCACACACTCCTTTTTTAGAGCTTGTACATCAGTTTCAGAGCCAGACTGTCACTCACATACAGCAGATAGAGTCATTGTACTTGAGGACAGGAGGAACTATATACAGGGTTTCATTCATAAAATATTGCACTTATTGGCCCATTGCATGTCACAGCGAGTGCTATGACAATGCTCCTAATTCTGTAACACAGAGTGATATATATACACTATCTTATTATATAAATCTACACAGATAAGTCAGGACTGACGTCATGCAATTTTTTGGAACTTTTATTCAACTATGCAACAAACAACTGATGATGCTAAAGGAATTGTGATGTTTTGGCACAAATGTTTTTTCTCTCTCTATGAATTACAGAACTGAAATAAGCTACAACTTTTATCCTATATGGATTTAAGTTATCATTAAGACCAAAACAGTACTGTATATGCCTGCTAGGGGAAGTCTCCCATTTTAAACTACTGTATGTCTATGATGTTTTCTAAACTGAGATTTTTTTTTCCAGGAGGGATTTAATTTCATAACACGAACATGAAAATTTAGCATGCTGACTCAAAAGTTAAACAATATTTTGTATATATATGGCTGTTATTCCATGCCAAAGCTGATCAGTTGTTTTATATCATACACTGTATTGAGCCTTGTCAGTGTGGGATTTTTATTTAATGAAATCCTGGATTTGTTGCTATCTTATTGAGGACAGTTCTATCTTTAGATAAAACCGTACATATGATTGACTTTTTGGCAGCATGCTCATCGCATCAAACTATAAAGGGTCATCTTAGAGGCTAAGCACATAGAAATAGTTGCTTTACAGATATACTTATTAGAGAAATCACACATCTACAGACAGCAAAACGTGGAATAGTACTCACATCAACATTATACGTACTGGATTCATCCTAAAAGTAAGCATGACGGAGGAACTTACAGAGGCCGTGTTGGAGATGCTAAAAGGCCACTTTTTTATCCAAGGTAGATGATTTTTAGACGACTAAGTTGCACTCATTTGTGACTCAGACATAAACCTCACACTCATGCGAACGCACGCTCACTTATTGTACAGTCACACGACAGCCACACACTCATTACACAAAAGAAAGCCGCTACATCCTATAGTGCACTAAATCATCGATTTGGCAGATTTAGGAGACAAAATAATCCTATAAAAGGAAAATACATACTGTACAAAAAATAAAAATAAAATAATCATTAAAGCACTCACTGACTCTATCCCTCATTTTATAATTATTCTAGGTCTTAAAGATTTTAAAGGTCTTAAGGATTAACTGTACATCATGACTATGGACTATTTCCAGCCTTAAGAAACATACTTGGTTTATAACCATAACCATACTAACTAGCTGAAGAATGAGAATATGGTGTCTCTATATTCTAGATATCCTGTAATGTGACACATCCTACACTAGCCATGTCTGTTGTCTGGTTATTTGCTCTTGATATAGGGTGATAAAGTTGAGAGATAATACGACTGGATTTTGTAATTCTACTACTAAACATGATTTGAACTGTAGTCCAGAGAAAGCGGCACTAGCAGGAGTTATAACGCTGGGGGGAGAACAAAACTGTGCACACTCAACCACCTTACAGGACCTGCGCTGCCCTCCCTTTGCTTCCTGACATCAGTCACTAACAGTTGCATCCAGGCTGCTGGAGGGGCGGAGCGCTGTCCGTCAGTTTGGCAGTGGGAGCTCCTGTGGTGACGGCCGGATCAGTGTCCAAGCTCTCGGACATCTTGTCGCAAATTAGGTCGACGAGACGTTCAAAGGTCTGCTTCACATTGACGTTGTCCTTGGCACTGGTCTCAAAGAACTCAAAACCTTAGAAAGAGGAAGAGCAACAGTAATATGAGAACATGAAGATACAGCCACAAGTAAGACAGCGATCATATGATTAATATTTCTGATTACAGTTTTAGGAAAAGCTTAGGCATAGCTGTATTTCTGATAATATCCCAAAAGACAACAAAAGTAAGAACAATGTCATGCTTTATGTCATGACAACAATGTTATGATGATGGCACCCAATTTAAATGATATAAAGGGGTACATTTTGCTAAGACTTACCTAACTGTTCTGCCAGCAGTCTGCCACTATCCACTGAGACCACTCTCTCCTCTTCCATATCACACTTATTTCCAGCCAGGACCACCTGTGCATTATCCCATGAGTAGGTTTTTATCTGGGTTGACCTGCATGTAATCAGAAACAAATACAAAAGAAAAAAACATCACAGTGAAATAAATGCTGTTGCTGCATTTATTTAAAAACTTTAATTCAAGATTGTTGTTGTGCCACTTTTTATTGGACAGGAAATTAACGTGAAAGATGGCAGAGCAAAGGACATGATGTAAAGTTCACTTCCCATTTGGACCGATCACAAACAGTGATTACATCACCTTACTTTTGGCATCATGTAATATTTGAGTCACTGATGGCAGCAGAGGAAAAGTGGGTCAACTGCCACCCTGTTCTGAAAACATGCAATCACTGTATTCAGATGAAGCTCATTATTTGCTATTTTCTAGCTTTTTGATACTTTGTTCTTTGGCTCCTGCTAACCGCTGATTGGTAAGCTATTACATGTATGGGCTAGGAACATCCATTGTAGCAATGCAGGGTATTAGTTGTGCTTACTGACAAGACAAACAGGATAGATAGTGTATCTGCTATTATTGAATAATGGTGAACTATACAGAAGATGCACACATCTTGCAAATGTGGCCCAGTAGACTATTATTTGAGCTTTTAAGCCTTTGATTAAGGTAGCTTGTGTATAAATATGAGGTTTAATTAAAACAACATAGTTGCAATGATTACATTCATTTAGAAAATTGAATATTTCTGTCATTTTTTGTAAATTGCTACATACCTGACAGGTCAACTAGATAGTGTATATAAATTGAAGCATTACCTGTATCATATATTGTAATTACTTCGAAGGAATCATTTGCATTGTGAGCCATGTCAGATGTTCCTGCACAATAACAATTTCAACATTCACATTCACAGGGATTTAGAGAGGTGCTTGTAAGTTTTGAGAAGGCATTTAGAGAACAAATATCTCCTGTGGTGTTGCTGCTTGACTAAAAGTAGGGCAGCTAACATACCACAGGCTGAAAGCAGTAGAAAGAGCGGCAGTAAGAAAGAAAGGAAGAAACAACAACTCAGAAAAAGGAGAGATAGAGAGAGAGAGAGAGCAGCATGATGTTGGCACTCTTCCTCTAGATCTGACTTGTTATAGCGGTTCAGATTTGGGTCATTTTGACTCCAACTGCTGATAATGTTCACTGACAGAAAAACAATTGTATTTATATCAAGTCTAACAGAGCTACATATGCAGGCTATAAAGAGTCTGTATTTACCAGTGATTATTTTAACAATTTGGCCTCTGGGGAAGAGAGGACGGGGCAAAATGCAAAGTAAATGCTTTCAAATTGTTGCTGTAATAAAATTGTTTGTGTATAGTATGTAATTAATTTGCACAGTTTCTTCAAATTCCTACATTTTATGTCAGTGTTACAATATTTCGCTGTTTTGTCTCTGTCACGGGCAGGAAATGAGCACGTCACAAGCTTAATTCAGCCACAGTTGGGGGAAGGAGCCGTTGCCATAGCAACCTCTTTTTTTCCCCCTACAACCTTGTCATAAGGAAAAACGGAGAAAGTGGAATTAAAGCCTGTGGCAAAGGCAAAAAGGAAGAATTCTGGTTATATGAAGGGTATACAAAAAGAGCCTCCTCCCTTGTATACAGTTGACTGATTTGTGCACTGTCTGGTAAGTAAGCTCACAGGTAACTCTCCAGGATTGTCACTGCTGGTGACACACTTGGCTCCATTAATTAAGATACCCATCACAGACAGTGCTCAGAATGTGGTATTCCATCAAAGTGTCAGACAGGTCTTTAAAGAATACTAGGTGTATCTGGCTCTGACCTCTCTTTACAAGAAAGCCTTGTTGTCCAAGTGACGGAAAATGTATTTCAATACAAATCTGAGTATGATAATGAGGAGTATTTTAACACAATGCATGCTACTAGCCTAAATAATAACATAGCTAATTACTTTAAAGGTCCAGTGTGTAACATTTATGATGATTTACTGGCAGAAATAGAATCTAATAGTCATAGGTATGTTTTCCTTAGGATATAATCAACTAAATATAGGAACTGTTTTGTTTTCTTTACCTTGGAATGGTTTTCATTTACAGAGGCATGTTGAACTGCAATGATTCTACAGTAGCCCAGCAAACAAACAATCCATTCTCATTCCCCAGTCGTCAAAAACAGCAACTTCACTGCCACTAAATCCTACACACTCTTTAAATATGTTTTCACTTCGGTTAAATGCAGCTGCTTTAGCCATGACAGGTGCTTTCTAAAGCAGCTGTCAAGTGATGCTATCTAGGTGAAGAGGGCCAAGTAGACAGTGGCCTTAATAGTGATTGTCAGACTCCTACAATGGATGCAAGCCACACAGCATGCAGGTGAAGCGTCAGCTGCAAAACCTATACCACCATCTATATCATGTCTGTGTGAGTCATATCATCATTTCCTTACTGCTGATGCATCATGAGAATATAACAATGATGATCCAGGAATCTTTCTCTCAAATGCTTATTCTGTCTATTCCCGTAATCTCCTGCTGCCAGAGGGAGATAACCGTATAGGACAGCAGGGTATAAATTAAATTGAAGATGACATTCTTAGCACAACACCTGTGGAGAGTCAGGCTGCAGGAAAATCAGCAAAATGTACATCAAATCACACATTTATCTCTACAGCTGAAATCCCTCAGTTTCACCAAAGCTTCCTGGCTGTTTGTGCTGCACTGTTTGTGCTGATGGGAACGTGCTTGTTTCTAGAACAAGAATCCTAACCCAGAAACCTGGTTTCTGCAGCCAATTGAATGTCGCCTTCCAAGTCCTGTTTTAGGCGTGAATGCATCATCATGAATCTCGACATTTGGGCTTGGCTTGCAGACGCTTGTGTGACTCATGAATGGACGAGAGCCACGACCTTGACAAGTTTCCCTTAGATCTCCAAGCATGGCAAAGATGCATGCACACACACTACATGACAAGACAGAGAGAGAGAAATGTACTGCCGCTGTTAGGAGATAGAAATGGTAAGCCTTTTTAGGTTTGCAGCTTTGTCTTGTAAGATGGAAAAACATGTACAATATCAAGTGTGCACCATATCAACTGATTGCATTATAGCAGCAGACTGGAAGGCCTTTTGCTATGTTGAACAATACAATATGATCCACAGAAATAAAAACAGGACAAGAGATGACATCTACATCCAAAAATGATCAAAAACAGACAAAACATTAACTCCAGAGAGCCCAAAACAACTCACCAGTCCTGCACAGCGCCGAAGGACTCCTCGTTGGTGATGTCGTACATTAGGATGAAGCCCATGGCCCCGCGGTAGTAGGCAGTGGTGATGGTCCTGTAACGCTCCTGGCCAGCTGTGTCCTACACACAGACAACATGATTTGGCATTGCTGTTAGCCGCCTGACTGATATTTAAGCCGATATGATATGAACCTGCACGACACACATACTTATATATATATATATATATATATATATATATATAAGTCCATAATGGTAAATGAGCAGACGTGTACATTGTTAATCTGCAGCTAACAGCAGCAACGATTTAGGACGTTATCTACATCTCTACATCTACATTTACTTATGGATACGTTTGTTGTGTTCATGATGTGGAAACAATCATTATGATAATTGCCTCACTGGCTTTGCATTGATGAGATGCCAAAAACAGCGTTTCAGTTTTGGCTGAAGTGATTGATTCTTTCCTCTCCTCAATAAAATAATCGCTCAGCTGTGTTAAACCCTTGGTGGTGCAGTGTCCAGAGCTCAGCTCGTGGCATGCATTTCTCAAATAAAAAGGCAAAATATAGAGGTTAAATGATTTGAGAAACTGCTTGCTGTTTGTGATAAGGCTGAACAAATTGCTCAAAGGCAGAGCAAGCGAGTGATTACACAGCAATCGAGGAGTAGTACACAGATTGCCCTGGAAACAAGCGCCCGCTGCACCCTTTGCTACGAGATGTCAATGAAAATGCTAATGGACCCAATTCAGACAGATGAACCTTTTATACAGTGAGTGTGTCCATGAGGAAGGAAGAGAAATGTAAGTATTGTTGTTTGATCTTTATCATTGCACACATGTGTAGATTTGTTGTTTTATGATTTAGTTTATATCTAAATATTATATAATAATAAATCCCAATGATGTCCCTCCTGTTTATATTGAATGTTTACTGAGCTGTTGTTCCACACCCACAACAAGTGTGTTTGCAGGCTTCTCTGAATCATGATGGAGGACTTCTGGCTGCTCTACTTGGCTCTTGTTAAACAGAAGCCCCGACAGGCAGCACTGGATTGTATTTGCCACATTGGTTTTGCTCTCTATCAGTCTGTACATGGCTGCAACAGTGTGCCTGTTATAGCCAGAGGACAGCTCTGACCTTCACTCCACAGAGACAGAGCTCACATTCTGCCGAGCTTACACACAAACACACCACAGCTAGGACCTTTTGTCAGTTTACAAAAACTCTAAAATTGCATGTGAATGTGTGCATTCTTAATGTCAGCAGCTAGTGCTTGTTGTATAAATAGCATATTTTCTGGAGTGACATTCAGAACAACATAAAGGGAACATGAATGTGTTTTTTGCTGTTATTGTGGATGTACCAAGTCATGATACAGTGTGTGAAAATGATCCGAATGTTGATTTAACTTCAGTCTTTTTTCGTGCCTGAATTCTGAGACATTTAAGTATCGATTGATGTCCGAGTGCTTGACAATGACCTTTGCATTTCCAGGCTATTTCAGTGAGTCGGTTCTCAGTTAAAAAGACAGAGCAGGACGGGAAAAAAACTGCTGAGTCCTGTGAATTGGAGCTTCTTGAAAAGCTTCGCTTGTAGTCTGCAGCTCACCAGAAATCAATCCAAAAGGCTGACTACTTCAAGTGGAGAAGCAGCTAGAGGCTGACACTCGCCTCAACTCTTCTTCATTCAGTAAAGTGAGTTTCAGTTTTTCACAAGGTTTGTCTTGGCAACGCTCAGTGCTGCGCTTCATTTACTTCGGCCAAATACAACAACAGAGACAACTCTACGGTGGGTTTTGACAGTTTTATCTCTCCGCTGATTAATGGCGAGACTTCCACAATGACAGTAGCCAATAGCCATCACTTTAAATGGCCACTTACTGTACAGTAAGTCTCAGCTCTCTCTCGGCCCACTTATAAAAAGACAGGCCAATTATATGGATGCTAGGGCGATCCATTTTCTCTGTGAATATGCTTGTCTTTGCTAATGATGAAAACACATTATCCCGATTAGCCAGTGATTTGAATGTTCAAATCCAGTTTTCACTTCCTGCTGGAGCGCTTCTTCTCTGGCTCTTTATGTGATTAGCAAACACCAAATGTCTGGGGATGGTTAATTGCTGCAAAAGACAACTATTATGACAAGAGAGAGCAAAACCTCTGAAGGAAAGTTGGCATTTGGTGTAGTATAGACAGAAAGAGAGAGAGAGAGAGAGAAAGAGAGAGAGAGAGAGAATGACAGGAAAGATGGTGAAAGAAATAAGAGAGAAAGAGGGGAACTTTTACAGATCTATCTCAGAGGTATTACGAGACAATCTGCTTTAACAGCTCAGATGAGCTCCTAATTAAACAGCCTCAGACATTCTTCAGTTTCCCACACGTTCTGAGGAAGGTGTTGCTTCTATGTTCTTCCCCGCTGCGTGCCAAACTAACACTTACTAGTCTCCTGTCAGTAATGTAGAGACTTCCATCTGTCTCCATACTTACATCGAGTGTTAAACCAGTACAACACAATACAGCCTTTCCTGAAGCTTTCTTCAATTAATTAAGCACACAGCTGATGTGCCACGTGTTTTTAAGACTAAAGAACAAAAAACTGAATGTATCTTTCTGTTGTGAATTAAGATGCTGAAATTGAAACACAAATAACATAAAATGGCTTAGTTAGGATGATGGAAATCATTACTTTATGGGTGAAAAGGTCCTTTTTGCCTGGTGTGATGTTGTCAAGATTGCTTGTGATGACACCACGGTGAAATTAGCTTCAAATATACATTCTATATTAAGTATATATAACATGATGCAAAGCCTTTCTGTAACAAGACATAAAAAAGAAAGCATGTCCAGGCATACTAAGCAAGCATGATCTGTCCTAAGAGCCAAACCCATGACTAAAATTGAATTAATGAATAGGTGATCCCGTGCGTGCAGGACTTAGCTCAGCATACAGCCATCAAGTCACAACCTGTCACGGTCCTTGAAACGTATTGATCAACAGAGAGAGATATGGGCAGAGGTCAGGAGAAAGTGGGCTCTGGGCATAGATTGACAGCCTCTTACAGACAGGAGTCACTCTGCAGGAACACAAAGACGAGTAGAACAAGAGAAACGAGGGGGCAGGGCATCTCTGAAGAGCCCCTGCCCCCTTAGAGCTTAGGTAGTCCTCCAGGAGACCTTGGAGGACAACAGAAAACTGATTCCTTCCAGACATTAACTGTGTTTCAACATGCAAATGCTGTCGATTTAACTGAATTAAATGGAAAATTAGCGCATGGTTGGCATGACAGGAGAAACATGAAAGGAAAACGTTGCTGCTTTATAGTCTAGAAATGTGTTTTCTTTCTCCTATAAATTACTAGCATTATACAAATCCTATATAGAGTTTGGGTTTCTAAACGTAAGGATTTGCAGGACAAAAACAGGCTGTTCAAGTAAATGTTATTATCTGGTGTTGAGCAGCCAAGGAGTTGCAGGATAAGCAGAAATAGCTATATCCCACTTCTGGTTTGGTAAGGAATTGAACATTTTGTGGCTTACTTCTAAATGTTTAATGCTCGGATATTAATATTTCATACCCAGATCTGCAGTTTGATCCTCTTGTCATTCTTGTACACGGTCTTCACTTTGAAGTCAATGCCCACTGTGCTGACGAAGGCTGAAGTGAAGGCGTCATCGGCATAGCGGAACAGGAAAGACGTTTTGCCCACGCTGCTGTTGCCGATGATCAGCAGCTTGAACATGTAGTCAAAGTTTTGGTCCCCTCCCTCGCCCTTCCCTTTCACATCCTGAGTAGCAGCCATCTGCAATAACAAAAACAGACACTGAACAGAATGCATTTAGAGCTTCACCTTGAATTAATGTGACGCTTTTTAGAGCTGTGGCGCACAGAAGATGTGAACCCATGTTATAATAAACGGATTATTTGTCTTTCAGTTGACTCTGTGTTTTACAAAACTTAAAGTTGTTGTGCGCAGACCAGGAAGTAAGAGAGAGAGAGAAAGAGCTAGATGTCGTTCACAGAGTACAGTACAAGCTTGTTGTACATGCCACAGATCAGAGGTGACAGAAGGCTGTGTCAGGCAAAACAGCATGACCAACACAGCAAGCTGTTGTATTGATGAGTATTAGATAACCAGGATTTTAAAGAGCTGAGTTTGTCTTCTCTAAAGTAAAATGATTCATTTAAGGAGTATTATTATTGGTGGTGTAAAATACTGTTTTGAATTATGGACCTATATTATACTGGGAAAAAAAACATGTCAAAGTTCACTCTTTTTTGTCTATTTAAATTATAGTATTAACAGTTCTGAGTGATGTTTTGCTTTTACGTTTGAAAAGCTCTCTCACTAGAAAATACAATCAAATGACATCTTCTTCCATATTGAACCTGCTATAGCCTATTGGTTTACAATGGAAATTACATTTATAACACATATAATGAACCTTTCACCTTAACAACACATCTACACTGAGCATTTCCATGCAAGCTGTCAGCAGTCAACGACCTAAGAGGACACTAGTACTACGAGTAAGATGACAAGAGCACAGTCATCTTTGCTCCAAGGTGAATGTTTTGACAAAGCCGCTGCGCTCATATGCCAAACATGGACAGCCAGCCCTCCTTGTAGTCTCTCCAGTGATAAAAGATGCCGGACCTCCATCCTGCTCAACCTGCACCGGGTTGCTTTTCGCTTCCGTGTATGGAAAAAAAAAAAAAACACCACTGGGGCAGTATTTGCAAGGACACCGATTTCAAAATATCAGTGCAATACTGGCATTTACACACACCACAATAAAAAGCAATCGATCTAATATGAAATCACACGATGTAGTTGAGCAGGGAGCTGCATGCCAGCTAATGCCAGACGAGCAATTCTGGCCAGGAGGTCATTTTTATCTATTCATGAAATTCTTTCGTACAACTATTAATAAATGAAACTAGCCTAACCAAAGCGCGTTGAGGACGTTGCGTGAACAAACCTGTTTCGAAGGCCTCGGCTCTATCTGTATCTGCCCCCTGTTTTGCAGAATACGCTTTATATATAGTATTTGTGTCTAAAGCAGGCGTTGGTTGTCTCTCTCTCTCTCTCTTATTTCAGCACCTGGGAGCTGTCCCCTCCGCTTCAGATGTGGCACGCGCCCCCGAGCTGACGAGGCTGGCTCGCGTGAGATGAGCACGAGCGAGAGGAAAAAAGTGCGTTCAGTGCGTGTTTCTGACGTCACGGGAGAGGGGCGGTGGGGGGTGGTGGTGGTCCAAGAAGATGGGGGTTGTAGTTTTTCGCCCGGTTTCGGCGCAGAGGCGGAGGACGGCATCAAAAGTAGAGATTCGACTACATTACTCAGCATGCAGCGCAAAACAGCTGTCAACAGCTGTGTGATTTACTGTAGAAGCGCAGGAAAAATCCTTTGTAGTTCTTTTTTTTTTTTTTT